ATTGTAGTCTCCACCCATATTGTCTTATCCCAGGGTCTGTGGCCCTCCTGCAGCTTTCACAAGTAGGGGTTGCCTCCTCCTTAAGATCAAGTCTGTGCCAATGCTGGTTTGGGGGTCAGGCAAGGGTGAGTGAAAATGCTACAAAATTTTCTGCCATTTTGAAGGTGTCTTTTTCTTTATTGTGTGTTTTCTGGGTTGCTGTAGACATTTCTTAGACCCCCTATAAGGTTAGTTCAGCCAATCTTTAGTTGCTTTTTGTTACTTTGGGAGAACAAGGACTTGAAATTTCCTAATCTGCCATTTTGCTGATGTTCCTTGACCACAGCTGGGAATTACTGAAGTAGAGTAGCATGTCCCTGGCAGCACTGTTTTCTCCACTCTCATTTGTACCTCAACCCATCACTTGACTTCCATGCCTACCACCACAATGAAACTGCACTTTGACTGCCTGTCAGTCAAGTTCCAGTGGATCCTGGCCAGTATTTAATTTATATTTTTAAATTATGTTTTTGTGGGGTTCAGAGTGTTATTTCAATACATGCATATAGTGCATAATGAATCATTTAGGTTATATAGCATAGTTTTGTACCCATTAGTTCACCCCTTTACCTTCCCCCCAAAGCACCCTCTCCTCCCATACTCTGGTAACCATTATTCTATTCTCTACTTCTATGAGAACCACTTTTTAAAAAAATGTTCCACATATGAGTGAGACCATCTGGTATTTGTCTTTCTGTGCCTGACTTCCTTCTCTTAACATTATGGCTTCCAGTTCTACCCACGTTGCTGCAGATGATAGGCTATTATTTCTTTTTATATTTGAGTGGTATTCCATCGAGTATATATTACCAGCTTTTTCAATCCATTCATCCACTGGTGGGCACTTAGGTTGATTCCTCTCTCGGCTATTGTGAATAGCATTGGGATGAACATGGGAGTGCAGGTGTCTTTTTGATATATTGATTTCATTTCCTTTGGGTTTATACCCAGAGGTGGGAGAGCTAGATTGTAAGGTAGACCTATTTTTAGTTCTCTGAGGAACCTCCAAACTGTTTTCCACAATGGCTGTACAAATTTACATTCCCATCAACAGTGTAGGAGAGTTCCCTTTTCTTTAGGTCCACTGTTGATGCTTAGTGTATTTCCTTTGATGGTGTCATATTTCTCTGTTCTTTCTAGATCTTTGTGTCTTTATGTGATGCCTGGGCATTAGAGGGTACTGCTACCTCTTCTAGGTTTTATAGGTGTTCTTTGGTGCTGACATTAATCTTTATTGGTTAATATCAGAGCTTTTTCTCTGACCATTTTTTTTTTCCACCACCACCACCACTTAAACTCTGTACTGGAACTAATTTTTTGTCCTTTGGTTAATTCCAAAATGGGGGAGCTTCCAGTGGTTGAGCTAAATTCCTGCTGATTCTCTGGGGGAAGGCTTTTGTGCAGCTCAGGTTTTAATTATTAACCTTTTAATCACTTGTCTTATGAGGGCTGTACACCTGGACTGTGTGCAAATTCTTGCCTGGGACTGAGTCTTTCTCGCAAACTACACCCCCTGTGGTTCTACCTTCCTGACCAATCTCCACTGAGTGGGCCTGCCTCCCCTCACCAACACTTCACGTGGTGCTGGCTGTGTACTGGTCCATTGCGATGACTCACCGGCCTCTGGGTAGTTCCTATTTTCATCTAGCTGTGGCTCCTTAGGAATCTTGTCAGTGGTCTTGCTGGCCTGGGGGCTGGTGTGGTGTGTGCCCAGGCCCTCTTCCTCCTGCAGAGTCCAAGCAACTTCATGCAAAAGGTACAAGTGCAGCTTTTGCCAGCTCCTGCTCCATGAGCTCACTGGGCCCGGCCCTGAAGGGGCTGGGGCTCAAAACAGTCGGACCAGTCCATTCTTTCTCTCACTGTGGCTCTTTCTTCCTCTTCCCCTGAGCTCCAGCCATCCCAGGTCGGTAGCCTTTGCTTTTTAATAGTTGTAAATTGATTGGTTGTGGGAGAGATTGATGCTTACCATCTTGATGATGTCTCCCCCCAATGTTTATTTTGTATCTTGTTTGTTCTTCCTGATTCATTTTGATACCATTGACCTTTCTTCCCTCTGAAAAAAGCTCCTCTTTTGGTCTCTGTGAATACACTTCCTAAGTTTTTTCCTCCTCTTCTCACAGTTTAATGATACTACCACTTGTATACTGATGACTTTCAAATTGATTAGCAAAGCTCTTTTTAAAGCCCCAGACCTATACATCCAACTGCTTAGTGAACATCTACATTTGGTTATTTCACAAACACCTCTTACTAAAGGATGTTTAAAACAATTTCTTATCATACCAAGCTACCCTCTTTTTCCTGTATTCCTACTTGTTCAATCCAGAAACCTCCAGCCAAGTGTTGGCTTCCTCCGCTCTCATCCCTGATATCCAATGGATCACTAAAGCCATGTCAATCAGACTTTCACAGTATCTCTTCGCCATTTCCACTGACCAATGCCTTCATTCTGATCACTATTATTCCTCACCCAGATTAGGTTTTTCTTTCTCCAGTCTTGGCACTTTCCAATTCAATCACTGTACTGCTGACAGAATAATTTTTTAAAAGTGTAACTCTGATTGTGCCACTTCTGCTTTAAAATCTTAGTGGCATTCATAATAAAATCCAAACTCCTGTAAAGCATACAAGACCCTTTATGATCTGGCACCTGCTTTCCAGCCGTATTTCTATTCTACGCTTTCAAAAGTGTAACTCTGATTGTGCCACTTCTGCTTTAAAATCTTAGTGGCATTCATAATAAAATCCAAACTCCTGTATAGCATACAAGACCCTTTATGATCTGGCACCTGCTTTCCAGCCGTATTTCTATTCTACGCTTTCTCCTGCAAACATTCCGGGGCCTCTTTTGCCTTCATTCTTTCACAGTGCTTATAGGGAACATATTCCCCATCCAAGACAGGTGCCCCATAAATGTATGTTGGATTCAAAGAAGAAAGTTGAATTATTACATGAAGCCAGGTTGTTGGAGCTAAGAAGGTGGGCTTACTTTTACATGGACTAAAATCAGCCTGGTTCTCATAGACTTCAAGAGGTAGGCAGATGAAGAAACATATTCACAAGATACTGTTCCAAAAGAATTTTCTTATCAGAAAATATCACACTTTCATTCTCACAGGAGTGGAAGTTTGGAGGGCATCTGTAATTTGAAGCATGTTTTCATAATATCCACAAGAGAGAAGGGGGTGAGAGTTTTTTGAGGGGAAGGAATGAAGACCTACATGTTTTTCTCTCTGTTAGGAAAAATAATCACTGAGAATGATCAGATGTGCACCATATATCCCCTTGCATGGCCTTGATGACAATGCAGAAACATTTCCCATGTATAGCCAGACCTGTTCCCAATTGTAATTTCACAAACTGCCAATAAGCCTTAAGGGCCTGGAAGCAGAACTACCTTGGGTGCAATGAGAGTTATGAGAAGTGGGCTTTTGCAGGTAAGAGAAAGATGATATCCCCCCAGGCATGGGAGCAAGGGGGAGCTCATGCCTCTTTGATTATGAAGCCCATATGTTATGTCACTGGAAATAAGGAGGGGTCGCTAGAGGCTCCAGAAAGAAGCCTCCAGCCAGGGATGGTGATTGGCCAGAATTGAGCATTAGCCCCAGCAGTACCTGGGACACAAATGGCTTATGAAGTGCAAGTGAACTCTGTGACCAGTAACATTTGATCTTCATTAAAGATTGCCACAGTATGTTAACTTAATAGAAAGTTGCAAGTGATTGTTTTCCAAAGAACACACCTGGGGGTAGGAGTGACGTGCAGTAGTGTGTAAATGACCAATTCCAACGAGTTTCAAGTTGCCCCAAAACATTCAGTCACATTGGTTCATACAGTTACACAAAGAATTAAAAGCCTGTTTGGGGGCATGCCAGCTGGCCATGCTTAACGGTATGATTCAGATGCCAAACAACCAAAATCTATGCCTGACCAATCAGAATGGTCATTCTATCAAGTAGCACCAGCCCTGGACAAATTAGAATAGATGTTACCACCCAGCTCGTGTGATAACACCACCTGCATCTCAGCCCTAGCAGGCAGCTCTTACTGATACGTCTCCAGTAGCCTTTGAACAGACTTCTGGAGAAATAGAATATATACAGTTATATCATTTCCTTCAAGTACCTCCACATCTGATTTTCTTTTTTTCTTTTTCTTTTTTTTTTGGTGCCAACAACATTCTAAAACAGTGGAGGGATGAGATGAGCATGACAACTATTTGTCTAGTAGAGGCCTTATCTAGCTGGACTGGGGAAAACCTAGGGTCTAATGACAACCAGAGTTCCTGACTAGTGCTCGGTGCCACCTGGCCTAGAAATAATGAGGGGACAATGGTGAGGTCACTGTCAGCATTCCCCTACTCCCAGGCTGCTACTGTCATGGCAGTGTGTCTGTCACTGCTCAGGTTGGCTCTCTACCCTGGCTGCATATCACAATCACCTGGGCAGTTTCTAAACATTACCCATGCTTGGATCCCACCCTGGAGCAACTGACTTAGAATCTCTGGGTGGTACAGTCTGGATGCTGGTCTTTTTAAAAAAATTTACCCAGAGATTGTAACTATGCAACCCAGTTAATAATGCTTGGTCTAAAACAACACTGCAGTTTCCAGGTGGATCTCCTGGGAATTTCGCTCATCAGCCCCAGCTTAGCCAGTGAGAAGAGGCAGCCTGACGGAATGTGAGTCTGAAGGCGGCGGCTGAGGACCCAAAGAGGGTCTGAGAATGGGAAGGCCTCAGGGTGGAGGGAAATCAAAAGGAAAAGTGTACTGGGTATGCGCGATGTGTTAGTGTTAGAAAAGAATGAGAAACCCTGGGCTTTAAGAAAAACCATACCTGGTGGGGTTGGTGACATGGTGGGGGGGAATGTAAAAGGCCAGTTATCACAGTACTTCCTTCCATGGCAGGGTCCACACCTTTAGATTTGCCTTTCAATATAAATAAAACCCTTTTTGGTCTCACCTGGCCCCAGCTGGAAAAGGCCCACTCCACACAGAGCTGTTGGTTACAGGCCTGGGTGTCCACAGGCCGTTTGGCGAGCTGGGCACACATGTCATTGGATACGGGAATGGAGATCCCAGAGGCTTTCAGCTTTTGACAGGTCACCCGGCGGGTCTGGATGCCTCCCCCACAGCTCCGGGTACAGGCAGACCAGGAGGTCACCATCCATCTGGGGAGAGGAAGAAGTGTCAGGGGGGCTCAAAGAATCATGGCCTTGGGGAAAACCCTGCACATCCCTCCTGTCGCCACACAGCTGCTGATGCGGGGGCCAAGTCCCTTTTTGAATTATTTAGTTGGAATGGGAGGCTGAAGAATGGCTCCCCCAAAGATATCCATGTGAAATCCCTGGAACCTGTGAATGTTACCTTATATGGGAAAAGGGTCTTTGCAGACATAATTGCCACACAGCTGCTGATGCGGGGGCCAAGTCCCTTTTTGAATTATTTAGTTGGAATGGGAGGCTGAAGAATGGCTCCCCCAAAGATATCCAGGTGAAATCCCTGGAACCTGTGAATGTTACCTTATATGGGAAAAGGGTCTTTGCAGACATAATTAAGGCTTTTGAAATGAGGTTATCTTGGATTACCCAGTAGGCTGTAAATGCCATCACAAGTGTTCTTGTAAGAGAAAGGCAGAAGGAGATGACATACAGAGAAGAGGAGGAGGCACTGTGACCACGGAGGCAGAAGCTGGAGTGATATGGCCACAAGCCAGGGGATGCCTGGAGCCACCAGAAGCTGGAAGGGGCAAAGAACAGTTTCTTTTCTAGAGCCTTTGGATATGCTGTGGCCCGGCTGATATCAGATGTTTAGCCTCCAAAACAGTCAGAGAATAAATTTCTGTTGTTTTAAGCTACTTATGTTTGTGGTAATTTCAGGAAACTAAAGTACTTGGGAAATTGACCAGAAAGGTGCATCTCAAAAAACTTTTCCGAAGGTCAGTTGCCTTTACTGCTCACTTTACTGCCCAGAAGGTGATCTGGGTCTCACTTAAGTCAAGGTTTTGTCTGGTAGCACTTACTGTACTTTCTATCTCACCCTAACCTGTGTCTCACATGATTTTGTTCAATCCTTCAGAAATAGACACGGTTTCCTCCAGCTTTCTGGAGCAATTTCCCATCTGCCTGAGTCACAGTCTATAAGGTCTTACACCTCTTAGAGGGCTGCATTTATGGAAGAAATAGTTGTCTTCAGAATGTTAGGTTCCAACTACAATTTGGGTCCTGAAGTGAAACTGATTTTCTCATAAAGCCAAACTGTAATCTGGAGAACACTCTGAAATCCTCTGTATATATAAGAACATGCAGTGATTCTCTTTGCATGTGTGCCCCCTGGATAATTCTCAAAGAGGATGGAAAGGGGACAGTTTGGGAAAAATAATGAGAGAAGACTTGGTGCTTTTTAGCCATCTCAAGCAATCAAAAGAAAAAATTTACCTAAGATAAAATGGTTGAAATAGCTACCTAGGTCAAAGCAGAAGAAAGAGGATCAAGGCAACACCTGTTTGCATGCACTGAAGTGTCCAAAAAGCCTGGCAGGAAAACCAGTCCAAGGTGAACCTACGGCCAGTTCCTAGACAAGTGGCACCACACCTGGCTTTCAGGAGAGGTATGTAGCAGGGAAGGGGAGAGAATTCCTCCTAAATGTGGATCTGTGACTTATTCAGTTTTGTGGTAACTTCTCTGCTCCTTTGCCCTGGAGAGAGATGACTGTGTGCAGATTTCCAAACCACAGGAACAGAGCCGCTTAGGAAATGGGCCTGAGGTGTTTAAAAACTCCTGGGGGCACTGAAACCCGAGAAGACATAGTCATTATTATTTCATTTGCAGAAGTAAATTAGGCTGATTGACTCTGACCATCACCAAATCAAGCCAAAAAGTTCCTGGCATGCCTAATATCTCCTCTTCATTTCACACAGCTTGGCAGGGGCAGTCTTCCAGCCTCTTATATCCCTGGTGAATGTCAGGCCTGCATTTCAATCAACTTTTATTTCCAAATATACATTTCAGCAATTTTTCAGGAGCTGGGGTGGGGGTTTGAGAAAGGAGAGGTACGGGCTACGTTACAGTTCAGGAAGGGTATAAAAGGACATTAATCATTCCCATGGAAACCTTCCCGTCAGCAAGTCAAACTACTGATATTAATGAGTATGTTTCATATTTCATTGAATCTCTCCTGGTTTCAGCTGCTCCTTATGACTTAGCTGGCAAAACTCAAAGCAGTTGCCTAAGGAGTGCATGAAAGTCCTACAGACAGGTAGAAAAGGGGCATTTCAGAACCAAGTCCCCCCAGGCTCAAAGTGCCATGCTGGTGCCAACATCAGGCCCATCCATTATCCCTTCAGCGATTGCTGAAGTCGAGGGGTGGAGGGACTCGTAGTTTCTCGAAGCATGAGGAAGATGTCAGAGGCAGAGACTCTGGGTCTCATTTTGGGCTACATAGGGACCCAAGTGCAGAGAAAGCATATCTAAAACTGAGGCAACTGTAGGAAATAGAGATTTATTTCAACTTTAGTGAGATGCAACCCTTTGTGGAAACGAAAGGGATAAGATTTCCTCAACTAAATTGGAGTATGATTAGCTCAGGTATTTAAAGTTGGACAAAAAGGGAGGGGTTGGGACAGAGCCCAGTAATCCCTGTCCCCTCAGCACTGCGATTGAAAACACATTTCTTCCTTATAAACAACCTACAGAGTCAGTCTGCATCTCTTGCCAGGGCCTCGGGTGCTCTTGCTCCCTGAACAGACCCTTTTAGGCACTCACTGGCTGAGCGAACAGAGGAGGCTTCTCCTGAGGGTATTTTCAACATGGGGAAAAGGCCCGACAAGCCTGTATGGAAGGACAGCTCCTCGGCTAAAAGTTGGGCCCCATCCTTTCAGGTGGGGAGGTCTGAGCCAGCGTCTTCCACACTCACCGAGAAGGGCAGTCTCTCCGGTTGCAGGCGACAGGCTGCACGGCAGGGCGAACCTTCCCCGCACAGTGTGCAGGGTTGACCTCTGTGCTGTTCAGCAGGCACCTTAGGCGGGGCTGCTGAATCCCCCTGTTGCCGCAGGAGGCTGAGCAGGTCGCCAGTCTGTCCACAGACCACCAGTAATCTGTCATAGAAGGGGACCAGAGGCGAAGAGCAGCAGCATGATTACCACTTTCTGCATTCCTTCTGAGCAGGGCAGGGGGTGTGGATGTGTAAGCTGAGGGAGAGGGCTGTCACGGAGAAGGCTCTGCCCTTCGATGAGTGCCATTCCCAACCTGTTTGGCCACATCTCCAGGCACCTCATCCATGAAATGAGTGCAGCAACCCTCACCTCATCAAATTATTGTGAGGACTGGATCTAATGAAAGTAAAGGGCCTAGCTCAGTGCCTGGCACGCAGGGAGTACTTAATAATGAGCAGAGCTCATATTTTTAAACATACTTGCTATAATACTTTTTTTCTTATTGGTTCACTGGAAAGTGACTATTTTTCTCCAAAGAGATATAAATATATCAGACATACTTAGCAATCATATTTAAAAGTGCAGATTTGAGTTGGATTTTGTGTTACAAAATAAATCAGCTGATCCAGAGACTTCTTATTTACATAAGACAATGACATCAGTAAGAAAGCCAATTTGTTTGGTTTTTCTATGTGGGCGTCTAGGATTCATTGGTAGGAAAGCTGTTAAAAATAAATGTAGGCTGGTAAATTTTGAGTGCTTATTTGCAAGGTGGTTTATTACAAGTGTTGCAGATAGGCACTGGCTTCTGGTTTTCAGCAGGGACTAACTGGCTGGTAAGAAAATGGAACATTTGTTTTCCTGTCTGGAAAGCCAAATGTCAGGGGAGGATATTTAAGGGGAAAGCCTATGTGCTCAGAAAAATCTCCCTTCTTTCCCTCTCCTTCTGTGCCATATTGGCACAAAACTCTGTCCCTTCTCTGAGAATTCTCCACTTAAGGAATACATACAATAGAACTTTGCTTTCCTTACAAACCTTACACATAGACCATAGGTAGAACCAGCCTATGGAAAACTCAAAAGCCTCACATAGTTTCCATTAAAAGGACAGTTTTGCCTTTTTCTACTTTCTCGGTTCAGTGAACGCCAGGCCCTGCCCAAGGGCTTTCTGACCTGCCTGTATTCCTGCAAGCCTAATGCATGAGCCATACAGGCTTCTCAGTCTGTTCTTTGCCAGGGCCAAAGGAAAGGTGCCTGGAAAGCCATTGGCATGTGACTGCAGCTGAAGACTCCCCAGAAAGATCTGGCCAGCACCAGTTCCCTCTCTTCAGGCAGGAGGTAATAATGAAACTGTTCAGATCAAACAAACCAAATTAACAAAGAAAACTAGCATTTTAAAAAAGAGGCTTCTGCATGTGTGTGATCTTTTCTAAACTAGCCTAAAGGAAGCACATCTGATTTCAACATATAGTTGTATTTCCTCAGTTCTGAGCAATGGTAACTTTAGGAGCAGAAGATCCCATTTCTGAAGGCAGCACTGATTTTTCCAGGTTCTGCTGGGATGGGGACTGGTGGCAGAAGTAGGTTCTCACTACAGAAGCACGGTTAACCTTCAGTTTTCATGCCCTGGGCACTACTGGAGAGCAGAAATCACTTTGTTCTACTAGAGAATTAGATCCCCAAGTGGACTTTCTTGTTTGAGAGATTAGGTCTAGCCCCCAAAGCCCGAAGGGTTCCTTACCTTGGATCACTAAAGATGCCTTCTGCATGAGTGTCCCTGCCTCATTCTGAGCAAGGCAGCTGAATTCCCCTTGTGACCCGCCACTAAGATTTGAAACCTGAAGGATCTGTCCAGCTGCCAAGATGTGATGCATCAGTCCTGTGGCAATTGGCTGACCACCATGGAACCAGGTAATATTAGGGGTGGGGTGACCTTTGATGGGGCAGCCTAGAAGGAGAGGAGAGAAGTAAGCCATTGCTAAAGCCAAAAAGGACACATTCCTGGCTAATTGTTTTAGTGTCTTGGCTCTAAACCCCATACATACAATGTGGCCTTACCCATTACATCTTTATTATATTTGCCATTCCTAAGCAAACAGGAGATGATTTTATTCTCTGGGCTTCTGAGAGCGTGACTATGATTTAATCAATTAAGTAAAAATTCTTGGAGAATACAAAGTGCCTATTTCTGTCTCTGTACTAACCTTTAAAAAATGATGCAAATAATATTTATTTATTGAACATTTTTTTTTCAAGTTAATTAGTTCCTACATCAATTTTATTCTGAAAGAAATTTCTTCTTCTAAAGCTGTTGGGAAAAAAAATACTATACTACATAGTAATAGCTAAGAATTAAACTTTAATTGGTAAAAATCTAATATCTGCTTCCATTGTACTGTTCATGTGATTTTCAAGTCAAATTTTTTTTCAACAGAGCCTAGAAAAACAATTTTAAATACTGATCTTATTTCACCATAAGTTAAGAACCTTGGTCTTCTGACAACTTTTACCAATGACATGTATTATATTACACTTCTCTTCGTAGTCACTGAACATATTTTGATACATTAAAATTCCAAACTATTAAACTGAAATATTGTCTAACCAAGGATTTGTAGCATAGAATCGGTAAGATAAACATGTTGCAGTTGTGAAAGAAAACATAATTCCTCTAAATTCAGAGGTGAATTTGCCATTGTGCCTCCAGTGACAAATTCCATATGAAATTTACTTGGAAGTTTAAAACATGATAAATTATTGAAAATTAAAGATACTGAAGGTTTTTCTTAAGGTTAGTTAGAAAATATCTAAACAGAAAAGCTATACGTATAAAACTGTTAGGAGAAAACACAGGGGAAAATCTTCATGACATTGGATTTGGTAATGATTTCTTGGATATGACACTAAAATACAGGCAACAAAAGAAATAAAGGGGACTTCATCAAAACAAAAACTCTGATGCATCCTGAACACTCAATTGAGAGAACAGGAAACCCACAGAATGGGAGAAAATACAAGGGTACTTCAACTTCATAGAAAAAATAGAATTAAAAGATAATATGAATCTTCCCATGAGCTTTCTGTAGTACTCCCATATTTGCAAATTAAAGGATTAATACCCAGAATATATAGAGAACACCTACAACTCAATAACAAAAAAACACCCAGTTAAAAAATGGGCAAAGGACTTGAACAGACATTTCTCCAAAGAAGACACACAAATGGCCAATAAGCACAAGAAAAGACGCACAACTAATCTTTAGGGAAATGCAAATCAAAATCATAAGAAGTTACAACTTCACACCCACCAGGATGACTATTATAAAAAAAAATGTTGGTGAAGATGTGAAGAAATTGGAACCCTTGTGCATTGCTAGTAGGAATGTAAAATGGAGCAGCTGCTGTGGAATACAGTACAGCAGGGACTCAAAGAAATATTTGTACAACAGTGTTCATAGCAGCATTACTCATGATAGCCAAACGATTTAAACAACCCAAATATCCATCAATGGATAATAAACAAAATGTGATATATATGTACAATGGAATATGAGGGGTCTTCAAAAAGTTCATGGAAGGATTCATATTCTATTTTTTCATGAACTTTTTGAAGTACCCTCATATTAAAAAGGAACGATATTCTGATACATGCTACGACTTAGATGAGCCTTGAGAACATTATGCTAAGTGACAGAATCCAGACACAAAAGGTCAGATATTGTATGATTCCACTTATATGAGGTACTTAGAGTACTCAAATTCATAGAGACAGAAAGTAGAATAGTGGTTACCAAAGGCTGGGAGGAGCGAGGAATGGGGAGTTAGTGTTTGATGGGTGCAGAGTTTCAGTCTGAGACAATGGAGTAGTTCTGGAAATGGACAGTGGTGACAGCTGCACAAAAATATGGATGTATTTAATGCACTGATGGTACACCTAAAAATAGCTGGGATGGTACGTTTTATGTTATGTATATTTTTCCTTTTTTTTGTCTTTTTTCGTGTCCGGCAACGGATCGCAACCCTCAGTGTCGCACCCGTACCGGACCGGGACTGGCAACGGGATCGCAACCCTCGGTGTTGCTCCCGTGCCTCGCTCAACCAGTGAGCGGGAACCGGTCTGTATGTGGGATCCGAACCCTCGGCGGGAGCGCCACCGCGCTCCCAAGCGGCGCACTGTAGCAGTGCACCACCGGGCCGGCCCTATGTTATGTATATTTTACCACAATAAAAAAACGAGGTAGATGTGCTAGTGTGCCAGTCCCAAGCCTAGACCTCGTGAGTGTTTGCTTGTGTGATCATGCCTTTGCCATCACTGTGAGAACACGCCTGGCCTGATGATCCCAAGAAGAGGATGTGTGAAATGGTGAGAACAGCCAAGTCTCTCCAGCCAAACCTCGTTCAGACCAGCTAAACTAAGTAAGATCAGTAAGAACTGGGGATTGTTGTTTTAAGCCACAGAGTTGTGAGTTTTTTAAAAATGCTGCTTGTTTTTGGTATGTGTGGTGATAGCTAACTGATACACCCACGGGGAGGGTCTTTGGGCTCTTTCCCCTGGCCAATGGATCTAAGGCCTGGGATAGTGCAGAGCTTCTACCTGCATACTGATTGAGCGTTTGCCTGACCTGTATCGTCTTATTCATGGGACTCGGGAGGAGCAGTTTCCCACCTGCTCCTGGTGGCATCACTATGCCAGGAGGCCCATGGTGGTGCACTCCTGTTAGAAAATGAGGGTAGGAATGGCCCTGGGGAGAGGCATATAGGAGTCAGTCCATTGGGAATCTCCTGGGATCAGGAGCACCTACACCCCTAACCCTAAATGTAGCCCAGAGTCAGATGCTGGTTTCATTTTCTAATAAGAGGCAGGAAAACTGTATGTGTATTTATGCAAATAGCATGATTTTAAAAGTGCAGCTTGAAACAAATATAGCTTTTCGGACTGACAGAAACAGGCAAATCTATGTCTCCCTATCACATCTGCTTTGAAGAAAAAAAAGTGCCATATGCTGTTGAGATGCCAGCTCCAAGAACTGTTCCATTTGGTCAGTCTGGACAGAGTCCTGGGGAGGCTGACTCCACTCTAAGTTGATAAATAAGAACCCTGTTATTCCCAAGCAAACATTAGACATTTGGTCAGAAAATCTTTCCCATTCACCCCTAATCCTCATTTTCCCAACTTCATTAGGATTTTCTGAGAAAGTTTTTAGGCAGAAAAAGGAGTGGTAGATGCCTTGGGCAACCCATGGCAGAGGAAGTTACTTATCTGGAAGCCAGAAACCTTAGCTAAATAAGAGGCATATTTGCATAACAATGACATTCAACATCCTCCCTCCTTCTTGGAATCAGAGGCCATAGTGAGCAGCCAAGACACCTCTCGTGGCCCACCCCATCCTGGGTCTGTTCCAGGGCCTCCCAGCCCACTACTTCTAGTGGGGGCAGGGATGCTTCCAAGAGCAGGGGTGAGGGCTGCCGTGGATGTGGAGTTCTTGGAACTGGACAAAGACTCACGGGAAGTAGCAACTAAGATGGGTCTTCAAGAGGCTGCCTTCATGGTAAAGCCTCTCATTCTGAAACTTATCAGGATGAACAGCAATTTTGTATAAAGTTTTGAAAAGAAAACCAATGTTGTTACTTTCAAGTTCAGATATACAGATTCATGACTCTCAAAGAAAACTTGGGTTTTGCTAGGATTCTCTGGCCTCAGTTTTCTAAATTGTAAATGAGGACATCTGATGATCTTTCAGGTACATTTAAGTCCCAATGAGATGATTTTTAAGGTGCTTTTATGTTCCGAAATTTCTCAACATAATTTCAAACTCATCCTCACCCCTCTTCTTACCCTCCCTCATGTAACCAGGGGCAAAGTAGACCTACTCTGTAGTCCCTTGGATTAATGTATAGTGAAATTGAACTATGCCAAAGAAGCGCTCATAAAAGAGATGTTATACATGGAGGTTATTTAGGATTAAGATAGGCAGAGACCAGGGATACACAGCAGGAAGGGGACGACATTCTAGAAGAAGCAGTGAGGAGAGGTGCAAAGAGTAGAAAACTTGTAGTGTGGCTGGGAGAAGAGGCTAGTAGACTTGGCTGGAACGTAGGGGACACAGCTGAGGCCGGGTGGGTGGGAGTTGCAATGGGAGGGTCTTGAAGGCCAGAATCTGGTCTTTTGGGAGTCGCTGAAGGTTTCTGAAGGGAGGGAGTGATATGATCTAGGTTGGCTTTGGAAGGATTATGAAGGTGGTCCTTTGCAAGATGTATTAGCTTGAGAGACTCTAAAATATCAGTTCAAATGTGGCAAGAAATGAGACATATTTGCAGAAGTAGCGCTGACAGGATGCAAGGAGAAGGGAGCAGGCAAAGAGGAGAAACTAATGAGATTAGAACACTAGTGGGAACATTAACAGAAATAGGTAAGTCAGGAAAAGAAGCTATTCCCTATCACCCCTGAAGATAGAAAAGTTTATGTTTACTCATACTGCTTATAAAATTTGTGATGGAACTTCAAGATGGAAAATCCAGCAAGATGATAAAAATTGAAGCTAAGTTAGAGATAAGAGCTGGAGACACAGATTTTGGGAGCCAGTCTCAGATGTGTGGAAGAAATCTTCAATAAAGAGATCAGGCCTCAAGACAAAACATTGGGAGAATGCCAGAATTCAATAACTGAAGAAGCAAAAGGAGATATTAAAGGGGTCTGGGAGATAGAGGAAAATTGAGAGCATGTGATAATATGGAAATCCAGAAAGGAGATTAAAG